CTTTACAGGGCGACGCGTGTAATACAGCGGAGGACATTTATAAATTATTGTGATTTTACAATTTATTTTTTACGCGAACGTATCCTTTTCCAATCAAATCGAATTTAAATCACGTTTAAATCACTTTTCCAAACACCTTCTTTTTTTTTAAATTACATCGAGAATTGCGCACAGAGATCTTTACGCTCGTCGTAACTACCGATCGATCGGGAGGAAATTATTCGAGTTTTCAATTTCTCGTTATTTCGCTCGATGAATGGCACAATAAATCGCAATTGAATTGCGAATCCTTCATTACTTCGCAATTTTGTTTTCTCTTTTTTTTGGCCAAATTAAGTACGTTGCGCGAATATGTATTATTATCGTTTATTGCGAATGTACGAGGTATAACTGCAATTATTTCGCGAAATTTAAATAGATTTTTATCGATAGGTTGAATTGAATCGCGCACGTGGTCGAGTTAATCTCCGATGCGCGATACGTATATATTTTTCTCTTTTTGCCCTCGGAACAGGAAGAGAAAGGAATATATATTCAATAAAATCTACCGCAATCACGTCGATCCGAAAAAAAATATACGCGTTTTTCATTACACGATACGTAGCAGCAGTTTTAAAAATCTCGTTTTTTTCTCGGATGTTTTTTTGCCAACTAAATTGCCTTTATGATACGACCGGAAGTGAGCTATTTTCCGAGGAGGAAAAAAAAGAACTCGCACTCGGCACTAACTTGCCAACGCACGTAAATAGCTTTCTCGTTACATCGCGTATTACGTGAGTCTAATCTTCCTTATTTTTGTTCCGCGTTTTTATTCGCAATTTGTATTCAACATTTTGCTTGGAAAATTGTCGCGCGACTCCTTGTGGAGTTGCGCCGCATTTTCTACGAAATAATAATAATTCTTTTCTCGATGCGTTTTAGAACGCTACCAGATGTTGCGCGTCGCTTGTGCAATTTCACGTTACGTTGTTTGTGAGCAATAGTAAAACAAAATGTTCAGACAAAAATAACATATACAAGTTCTTTGAATATCAAATAAATTGTTATGAACGAATAAACAAAGTGTACGACTCTCTCAGTATTCACCTATAACAAGAAAAATAATAAGCCAGTGTGACAAGCGTCGGGCGCAAGATAGTATTTTTTAAATTCATATTTTTTATATGTTTTTTATATTGTCGGAGAAGTTAGTGTAGAAACGTTGAGTATATAAAAATAAATCTATAATTTTTTAAACACATCCGGTTTATGCTCGTTCTCGGCTTTTAAATTACTTATTTTTTTGTATGTTTTAAACAAACAGTATTTTTGTTGGTCTTATTTTTTATAAAATATTTTTAAAAGCATATTAAACGCGCATTATAATTTGAATTAAATTTTAAAAAATCTACATCGGATTCTTGATTTGCATCTCGTATATAAAAATAATTTGTTTACTTTCTTGTGAATGTAGTTAAGAAAAAAAAACCGTTGCGCGAAAAAAAAAACACCTGGCTATCAAGAGTTATAATTTGATACGTTATTTTCCCAGAAACAAATTAACGATCGCGCTATATTAGTTGACGCGCGGTACACACACACGTACACACGTAACACATTACATAATGAAGCAATTTCAAACTTTCCTGAATGCATTATATTCAGCCAGGATATTTGTTGTGTACGCGGAATGCAGCGTCATCGACGAGTTGCATGGAAGTACAGCTACAATGTAGCCGCGAGTTTCGCGGCTGCTTGTGAAAAGTCGATCGCCTTTAACGACACGTTGATCCCTTCACACGACGAACTCGACCGCGACGTACGTACGCAATATCGATTTTGTCACTTACCGCAAATACAGCGCAGGCGTAAAACAGAGTCCCGCAACTGTTAATCGCGCCGCGTACAAAGCGCAAAATCGCGTTTTTTTTTTTCATAATTGTGGAAAACAAACTGAAAGACTGTCACAAAACCGTGCCTCGAAACTGAAGCTGGAAATTCGCGCGAAATCATTAGCAAAGGAAATAACCAACCGTATCTCTCGTCGCGATAATCTCGTTTAGCGAACGGATATGTATCTACACCGGATGTACGCGTTCTCGCGACAAAAATTACGTTATTCGCGAATGTATGAATTATTTTTCATGCGAAAAACCCACTGTTGTTGCATTTCTTCTATTTTCTCGTTGCTTCGTATCTCGTTTTCAGGTTGACGATAACACACACTGACACTTGTTGAGATTAATTTGACTGTTATAATTATTGTTTATAAAAACATATGAGGTGTTTTTTCTCCTCTTCGAATGCGAATCTCTGCGAACTATTCAGTGCGACAATCCTTTGTCAGAAAAATCTCACGCGAACGCAATGCGATGAGTGTTTTATTCACAATAAAATTTCCTCTTTCCTCTCTCTCTCTCTCTCTCTCTCTCTCTCTCTCTCTTTCTCTCTGTTTCTATTTGATTCTTTCTCTCATGTATTTTTAAGTTCTCTCTAAGTCACGAAAAGAAACTACCTTCTATTCTCTCGTGAGCGGCGCGAAGTCTTTTTACGACAGACCGCGTTTTCCGGCGGCGAGTTTACATCGCGAATGCTGATTGGTTCAGAGCTTTTCTCGTTCCCGACCTCGACCCTCTACCGTCAATGCATATCCGGTACACCTCATTCGATTATGTCTCGCGTGCGTCTTGCTGCGTTATCACGTATGAAACTGACTAGTGCAATCCAATTATCGTCTTGACGGCGTCACGACAGATCTCGCTCGCGCGGATTTTATTCAGCTTTTATACGTTACGAGGCGCCGAGAGCTTTTATTCAAGCTGGTTTCAAACGGCTGACTGTGAGAAAGATTGCCGTAGAAAGAACATGCGAGATATTTGTATTGATGCAGCAAGTTCAGAACCAAAGTGTTGTTGTTTACGTGTAATCGCGTACACATGCCGCGTTGTGCAATTTTTTAAGCAATTTAATTCTCATGTGTGGACTTTTTTTATTATAAGTTTAAATAATTCGAGAAATATATGATTAAAAACAATAAAAATATATAATAATATATAGAAATATATAGTAAATAATAAAAATATACAATATTAAATAATTAGAGAAATATAGTATTAAAGTATATACACGTACATTTTTTACACAGTCATAAAAACATTAAGACATATTAAAAATAGTTTTTAATATTGTGTTTGGTCACAATAGAGTCTTTTGATATTATATTATTGACCAAATATGTGACATTAAATTAATTAATTCGGACTGAAAATTTGTCACAGATTTGTCGCGAAAATATCGAGTCCGATTATTTAAATAAAAATGCGTTTAAAAAATTTTAATTCAAGGTGGCTCGCATATCTAATAGAAAGTCGATATTTTTGCTTCCAACTGCCGGTAGTTTTAATATCTCGCGACAATATGTAAGCAAGATGTAAGGAACGACGTTCGCTGAATTCACGAAGATGTGTTATAAATTTGCGGCGCCACTCGTACATCTTCTCTTCCTCGAGGTGACGTCTGACGTCGTTCGGGGGTTAGTAAGCGCGGGGGTGAGTATCGACTATATATCGCGACTTCTAATTTTCACTGTCGACCTTGGGCAAAGAAATCGTAAATTTTTCACGCCCACGTGTTCTATCTGGGTGTGGCAGGCCGCGACGAGAGAGAGGAAACAGATGGACGACGGCTGAAAGAAACAGCGATTCGTTTTTGTGAGACAAAAGTTTTTCTTGTTCTCGCATTTCTTTCTTCTGCCATTGCAACGCCTCGAAAATCTCACACGCGCCCATTGTCCTTTTGTTTTTTTTTTATTACAATCTCATGAAAAGAGTATGCTCTCTATATTCCACAATTCTGGATGCGAACGTCGTTCGTTGAAACTTGCGAAGAAATACGTGATAGCGTCTTAGGAAGGTATTTCTTTCGTAAAAAACCCGAGATTTTTTTTGAAAAAAATCAAGTAAAAACTTTTGATTTAGTTGAGAACTCTCCACTTTGTTTTCACGAATTTCCAATTTAAAAATTTGTTAATCAGAAAAATGAAAGACGTACAAAACTGTACAAATATCAAATTTTTGTTTGTTGCAAAATTCAATTGGCGAATTGCGAAGCGCATTTTTTTCGCCGGCCTCCGCGAATGTTTCCCACGACGCATTTTACTTCGCGCGTAACTAACGCAAATTTTTGGGATTCCGACACGGCAAGTAAACGCAACCCATACTTTGTGTACTGTTGCCGGGGAAAGTCCGCGAACGTACCCTGTAATCAGATCTCACTTTCGCCCGACCGAATTCAAAGCGGATAAACATTTTTATTTCGGCGCAGGTGCGCGTTCTGGTTTTGTGACGTGCGCGTTTATCTGTAATTACGTTAATGCAATGTATTCTCACCCCCTATTCCCCGACTTTCTCGACGAGATTATCGATTGCGAGAAACCGTGACGTGGAGCCGATGTTGCACATTTGTGACTTTGATGTTAAGATGTTAATTTAACAAAATATCAGAACTAAACATTAACAACTCAATGTTGAGTTTATAAAATTGAATAACTGACAACCGAGCCAACGCTCGGTTCTCGATGAGCAATATACTTATGTTTACATACTTATATTTAAACAAATATATAAATATATTTTGTTAAGTTGAGCGGAACAATTTTTCGTCGCGATCAAATGTGTAAAAAGTTGATGCTGCGACCGCTCAGCAGCGTTTGAAAGTTGGCTCAATTACTTAATTAATTTTATACGTTTCTTATATTGACGACTCGAGTTTTGCGTTAATTTAAAGTATACAATATTAGAAATGAAAGAAGTAAATGCAATTAATGTAAATTTTTGTTAACGAAACATTTCTGCGTTATACGCAAATGGTTTTGTGACAATCTCGCGCGAGTGTTGAGTTTAAACTGGGTTATTCTTTTACTCCGAGAACTGCGGAATAGAGAAAGAATTAAAAAAAACAAAAAAAAATTGCGTGGCGCTCCACTTCACATTTTCATTACCGAGCTGCGTATTAATTTGCAGAATGGACCATGAGGAAACGCGGCACCGGCTGGTAGAAGACGAGCAGTCGGACGCGCTTGTACCCCATCGTCGATCGCCGTTGTCGACGCGTTTTCGATACATCCAGAGCCAGCGGCAGGTGTCGCGCGTGGCAGATACGAGTTTGACAGGTGTGATAATCGGGGGTGGCCCGGTCATTGCCGCCGCCGGGCCGGCGATGCGACGATGAGCTCGCCGAGGGTGCTGCTACCCCTCCACACCCGACCAAAGGTGAGAGATCTCGCAAAATTACATTCGACGAATCCCTACGTCTTATCTTTTTTTTTCAAGAAAAAGTGTTACTTTTAGCACTTTGTTCGCGAATTGAAGATCCGCTATTTTTGCCAGACTGCGGCCGAGTAATTTTAAACTTTACCTTCTCGCGAAAATATCTCGATTCGCTGAATATTTGACGAACTAGAGAGAGTGTTCGGAGAGCACAGAAAAACGATATGCCATGTGCTTTCTGAAAATTGAACAGTCGGATACGTTATTACTTTCTGTCGATACAAGCTGCGGCGGTTCAAAAGCAATTTAATGAACCTGAGGGCTGTGTGGAATATCACAACGATTATATATCAAACTTTAATCGATGTGTCGTAGAGTCTCTCCCATTGATTCACTCAACCGTTCGTTTTTCCGCATAAATGAGACAAAGTAACGAACGTACGAGGCGGGAAAAGCGCGTCTCTAAGATGGCCCGAGCGCGACGCGCGAAAATTGAAGAATCGCGGCGGAAGACAAAAGAACTAGGTTGTTAGGGTGAGTGGCTTTTGAGTGCCTAAAAAATCTCTCCCTCAATTTTTTTACAGCCCCGCGTAGTAGCAAGGCCGGGTAGTCTCGAAAACTGCAGCAACAGCGAGGCCGAACGACGAGGAGCGGCAGGCGGTTCAAGGCCGAAACTATCCGCGTGGCCATGGACCACGAAGCGAAGAACGGAACCAGCAGCCACGAGGAATACACCAATATTCACTTCATCGTCGGCGACCGCATGGAGACTTACACTTACAAGGCGAACCAGGTCACGGACATGGAACTCAAGGGTGAGTGGACTGCTTTCACCTTGTTGGCAACGAAACAAGTTTCATTGACTTTTCCGTCACTTATCGACTGAAACTCTTTAATTTTATTCATCATTTTTCAAATTACTCTTCCTCTATGAGAAAAAAAACAAACAAAAATTACGTCAAAATAATGAACTTTTTTTTTATAGATTTATATTGACGCAAAAGTACAGAGAAATGTTTAATTACATGTACATTTTTATTAGTGATTTTACAAAATCGAATCGCAAATTAACATGTTTACTGTGCGCGTTTGTAAAGTCACGAACAATCGCGTGGGAATACACATTCAAATTTTATCATTCGCGTTTTATTTGATTGTAATTAAAATCCAAACGCGGAAACACGCTGAGATTTAGGACTGTTGTTGTTGTTTTTTATTTATCAAACATGCATCCGTTAATAACAGCGAGAGGTGTTTTCATCATCGAAAGATCGATAGATTCGGCCAACACACACCCACCTACCCACACACACACACACACACACAATAAGATTCATCGCCCCGATCCGAGAGCATTCAATTTATCAGCGGTCTGATTGAATCGCGCGCGAGAAACAGCGTTTTCGCAAAGTTAGAGGCGTCCATTAATCTTTCCACGGCAGAGATACTTTATCCGGGTCGTCGAATATTTTGCCCTGTATGGCGTCTCCGGAACTTTTCACTCGGGCTTTATGGTCGTACAGTAGGTGTATGGTACATACTACTTCGCGGTCGTGAAAGAGCTCGGGAGAGCGTAGGAGAAAGCTTTTGCTTCTCTCCGGCGAACGAATATATTTGACGTTCGCAGGATTTAACCAATTATCGATCGCGACATGACGCGCCGCGTCACACACCAGCCAATCCCCGTGGCCGAGACTTTTACGCTTTCGTCGTCCATCGCCCGATATGAAAGCTTCCCTTCCGAAAGCACTACCGAAATTATGTTTGCACACACTTCACCTTCGTATCGTGACCTATCGAGCGGACCGACGACGTCGACATCGTTTTCTCTCGGCTCGATCGAGTAGCCGTCGGCGTCTCTCTTGCAACCTTTTCTCCTCCCTCCCTTCCCTGTCTGGACGCAAAAATACGCACTTGTGTCAACTCATTCTGGTTTTTTCAATCCTTCCACGTGGCAAGATAATTATTGCAACTTTGAACGATAATTTCGAGAACACACACACACACACACACACACAGAAAAACGCCAAATCAAAAAGACTAATCAATTGAACATTTTTATCTCTACATAATTTACATTTTTATAAAATAAATTATATAATAATTTTATTATTATTATATATAACAATATTATTTGTATTATTTTTATTATTATAAAATTACATATCTATTAATTATTTTTTATCAACATAATATATATTTGCAATAATGTTTGACTTTCCCTAATTACAAATCAAATATTTAATAGTCTAATTAAGTCTTGTAATATATTACCTGTTTTACAATGAAATCTATCGCCAATTTAAATTATTAAAACATAATATATATCTCTTTGCGCATACGCGATAATTATAAATTTATTAATATATCGTGTATTATTAGCGCACCGCTATATATTCGGAAAATGAACTGTCAGAAATACAATATTACGATTTTCCGTAATGTCAATCAGTATATATTTATTCGCGCCTGCCTAAACATGCTTGCTGAATTGTCATGATAATTGCCCACCAAGCAAAATGGACGCGACGACGGTATTACGCAAATTTAACAACCTATTACTTGAACTAGGCTGCATTACGTAATTAAAATTCTAACACGCAGTTACAATGTGTACACTCGTGTACGCTAGTTAAGGGGAAACGAGGCTTTGTCAGCAATGATGTTACGAGAGCGGTTACACGACGGTACAAAGTCATACTACACAACGGCGGACAAGTCTTGTCATTGAGACCTTATCCTATAAACGTGATCTCCGATCTGTTGTGTCTGCACTAAAGCTCCCTCTTCCCCTCCCCCTAGCTTTCCAGTCCCTTTAACTCGCTGTTTGACACTCGGCAAGTCAGGCAACTCGCGCTCCGTTAAACTTTCCATTTAAAACTCCGAGCGCGTAACTTGGAACTGATGCAATATATATGCGGATCGCGTTTTGTCGCGTAAACTTTTCTACCGAACTCTGAATTATTACACGTTAAAGTCGCGCTAAAAAAAACGAGACCATTGTTTCAATGTCGATGCGGTAATCATTTTAAAAAGATATAACTCGCGTTTTCTTGTTCGCGGCGCGTGTCACCTATTTATGTAAAAAAAACTTTACTTTGTGTTAAAATTATGAGAAACGTTATCAAAATTATTTGTTGTTTTTAAATAATTAAGTTTCTACACACATATAATATTATGTGTGTAGAAGTATATAAATGATATACATATACACATACATATATAATTAACTTATATATAATATTATTTATACATAATATTAATTTATATACAACAAAATACTAGTAAAAACACTACGATATTAAGTTTGTGAAAAATCAGTAGCTATGAAAATTTAATAAATTAGAAGAAGTAAGAAAGTCAAGGACTCAATGTATATATAATAATTAAGTCAAACTTATACAGAGTTTTGTTGAAAAAAATAAACTTGTTTACCGCGCTGAGTCCTTCTTGACTTTCTTTCTCATTCTAATTTGTGAAATTTTAATAGCTACTGATTTTTCACAAACTTATAATATCGTAGTTTTCATCAGTTTTTTTTTTATGTTGATCTTGTAATCGCTTCACTCAGTTACTTTTTCAACAGAGTTGTGTGCTCTCACACAGAAGATTGTTACATGCCATTGTTATATTACGGTATTGTTATGACGGTCCGTATTTTCCCAGGATGCTGACAAGCCACCGCATCCTTCTACCCCAGTTCGGGATGGGAGGGGGGGATAGAACCGTGGAACACGTTCCGCCGTGGTCGTTCTCGTTTTCCTTATCGCAGTTGCTTCCACTTAACTAAAAAGCCTTTTAACGAGGCCGACTATGCGAAAAATGTGTGCCGCGAGGATGCCACGCAACCGATCGATACTCCATCGCGAGAGGGTTGAAGTTGCTCCGCTTTTCGCTCCGAGAATAAGAATTTCTCGACTTGTGAAGTGCGGAAAATACACATGTCCTCTCTCTCTCTCTTGCTCCTTCAATACCGGAATGAGGTTTTTCCGATAATTATTCATCGAGCTATGTCGGCGAGCGGCGAATAGCTTCGCAGGAGAAAAAGAAGAAAAAAAAACACACAATGTTGCGAAAGTAGTTATAACAAAAATGAAGGAAACTTCTCTCTCGTTGCACAGCCGTGCTTTTTGTTTGCCGGAACGTGAAAACGTGTCTAGCTCTTTTTTTTTATTGATTTTTTTTTTTTTATCAAAGTTCTCGCAATTTCCCGAAGGGGACTGTTAAAGCAAAGCTGACCCCGAACCTTCGGAAAATCAAATGTTCTATTTGACGCAGTTTTCCGAGACTCGCGCGGCGGATGACCAACACGTTGCCCGACACGTGCGAACGATCGCTTTCGGCTGGTTCTATATCGATTAAAAGTGAAATTGCGCGCGGCTCGCGCGAGATCTGTATTTATTTCTGTACTACTCTCTCCTGAAATAGAACGACGCGAAACAATATGAAGTAAGAGCAAAAAAAAAAAGGCTCTAAGTTTAACGAACTAAATAAAGATGTAAAAGTGAAAACGACGTTAAGAGCAAAACACGATCAAACTCTCGCGAGACATTTTTTTTGTTTTTTATTTCTCGTCTGTCATAAGTGAATTTTTTAAACTTTTATCACATAAAAAAGACAACGATGTTTTTCAAGTTTGTGCGCTGTTTGTTTTTTCCTCGCATCGAGAACAGCGTTTCGTTACAAAAATCGCGAATCTGATTGACCATTAGAAACTTGGGAGAGACGTGCTTGTCTTCTCATTACGAACAATTTGTCTTGCGTCATTTCTTTTGACGTTTTTGCTACCGCTAACGTGGTCGTTTTGTTACACGGCATGAGCAAGCTTTCGTCATCGTGATATCTCATTATCCGAGACGAGAAATTAATATCGGATGCCGTCATTATATTCTCTTATTACAACGAGATTGTTGTACGCGATCCGAAGTCGCAGACATTGCGAGACGGCGCGCTGCTGCATCTCGTCGACGCGAACATTCTCGAAATTTTACTCACCGCCCGACAGATAATTCTCTTTATTATCTTCGGACAAATAATTGAATTCAATTCTTCATCTTTTTCTTGAAACGTACGAACGCAACGCAATCATCGGGAGAACGCGAACGACCGCTTTTTCTTTGACAACCACCGCCCGGAGCAAATATTGCTTGCTCGAAACAAATTTTCCGGTTTTCATTCTTTGCCACTTCGCGAAGTGGGCAACTAAACACACGTAATGGGTGCATTTGCGCATTTACCTGATGCAACACGCGGCCTCTACATGTACAGACACACAAATATCGATTGTTGGGCCGAGGCTCTAACGTGTCCGCGACCCCACCTCCCATCCAATCAACTCACGTCTCGAACATCCTCCCTTTTATCGCTTCTCAGCGATAATATCGCGTGAATTTTGCAAAGATATTTAATTTTGAATTATTATTTTGCTCAAGAAACACAAAAATCTTGAAGTTTACTGATGAAATAAATCCAAACCAGTTTCCCGAAAAAAAAAAAAAAAAAAAAAGCAAATTCAACAAAAGTATGTAAAAAATAACAAATGTTATGTCACACTTGACTTGCATTTTGTCAATCTGTTTGACCATAAATTGAAAATTAGGGTTACATTTGGTCAAGACGTTCTCTTTCCAAAAAAGAGAGGATCTCTTTGTTTTTTTCAAGTAGAAAGAACCATTTTTTCTCCGACGATTTGCTTCGAGCCCGCTAGTTCGTGAACAGCTTCTCCTCGGGGTGCATAAATAAAATTATGCAGTTTAATTACGACGAAAGGCGGAATGAGAAATTGTGGGAGTTATGAAAAATTGCTGTGTTTGAA